GAGAGAGAGAGAGGCAGAGAGAGACAATGAAAGTTAAACATTTGCAGCACTCAGACTCAAAAATGGCAACGCAGCTCGAAGCAACGCTCCTGTCACATCCTTCGAGAAGGTCCTCAGTTGCACCATGCATCTACCGAAAGAATGAGAGAGAAGCAGACAGAATAAGAGGGCAGAAGGAGAGAAGGAGGCATGGCATTTCACATCGGTTCACTTCCACGCTTCAAAATACGAAAGCGCCCACCTAGTCCGAGGCCCCCCGCTGCTCCGAGCTTCCTTCGGAGAGGCTCCGATAGCGCTGGTAGGCGTCCTGAAAGGAGCGGGAAGCAGAGGAGCGCCGGTCGGCGCTGCTGTGAAGGGGGCCCAAAGAATCGCGGCTTTTTCCATTGAGAAAAAAACGCGGACACAGAGCGCAGCAAAGTGAGGCGAAGTGAAAAGCGCGAGTCATGTGCGCACACTGCAACTTCAAACGCTCACATGATGCTACGAAAGTATCGCAGGCGCCGCTGCAGGGGATGCTCGACATGCACAACGCAATGGAATTACCAGTTTTCCTGTCAGCGGCCAAGATCATAGGGGGCCGAAGTGCCGCAGCAAGTGGCTAGACAACCTACTGTCTCACCTCCTGGTAGGGTGGGTTCAGCTCGTTGTGCGTCTTGGCTGCTTGCAGAGAACACCATCAGACGTGCGATGTCGTGTGTCAGCAACGAGGGGTGGGGACAAGCTGTGGAGGCACAGCACTTTGGTCTCAAATGCAGAGCAGGCAAGTACCAAGCTGCTGGTTGCACTAACGAGCTTTGGCAATCTCCGGTAAACGGGTGCAAACAAGCTGGCGTGCTAAACTTGAGCAGGCTGAAGGCACGAGGACATTGAATCAAAGGACGATTTGATCGAAATGCTTCGGACTTCCAAAACAAAACACCGGCTGCATTGTAAAGCCAAAGTCGAGCTGGCTCATGCTACAGCAGACTGCAGAAGCTACGGGCTTTGGAGTGGTACCCAGCTATAAGTCGGGGATTGTCATAGCGCACTCATAGCGCACATCGTAGTCCAAACACTGACAAGTACTGCCAGGAGTCAGCAGTGGAGATTCGATAGGGGTGTGAAGGCGTGAAGCATCGGTTCGCTGCGTTCAAGTCGTGGCCTGCAGTGATTCAATCGCTCGAAGGACTCGCTCCAGCATGTCGTAGCACTCCAAGGCCTCTCCACAAAGCTCTGCAGAGGCCCGCAGAGGCCCAACTGCACGCAGCTTCACGCAGCTTCACGCAGCCTCGCTCTGCAAGATCATCTCGAAGACCTTTTCCGAGGCACCGCAAACGCAGGGCACTCAGGGCCCACTCAGGCACTCGGGCAGCGCAGGTCTCAGCAGGGCGCGCTGCTTCCCGAGATGTAGCGAGTGGCCTCTTCACAGGATCATGCGATGCCATGAGACGCACAGAGGCCGAGGGGCACCTGCGCAATGAGGCTGTTGCAGATCTGACGCACGATGACGGCCAGCCGCGCCAAGGAGTTGTAGTACTTGGAATGCCTGCTCTCGGAGTCTGAGAACTACGGAAACCCCAGAGAGCTGCTCGGGCAGTGGCCGCCAGACCAAGAGCAGAACGTGGAAGACGTCATCAAAGACTTGCTCCAAGACCTGCATATAGAAACTGCTCTGTGAAGAAAAACGCAGACAGAGTGCAAGGGAAGCCCCCCCCCCCGGCCCGCCTCGAAGTCCTGCGTTTCGCTGAGCAAGGCGTCCACGTGGGGCTCCAAGGCCTTCAAGAACTTCACGTTGTCGTTCGCCTCCTCCCGACCGTCCTGCAGCTGGGCTCAGGGCCGGAAGCTTTCTGCGGAAGCTGCTCCCCCCTTCTCTTCGATGCTTTTTCCTCCACCTCCTTCTGCAGCCGTGCGAAGGGCGCCACGTAGGTGCTCTTGTTCGCATCCAAGAAGCGAAGCACCTTCCGCTCCAGCACTCGCAGCGAAGGAGAATGAGAAATGCCATGTGATGCCGGGGAATCACCGGGGACCCTGCACGCTTCACTCCCTCCATCTGCAACTGCATGTGGATCGAGTTCAAGTTGTTGGCCTCAGCAAAGGCCACCGCTAGCGCTGGTCTGGCCTCTGCGAGCCTCCGCCCCTTTTGGCCCCGGTACCCTGCTCCGCCAGAACTGCAGCTCCGCATCCGGCTGAGGGCTGCCTTCGCGGAAGACGTGCTCCGGCTCCTCCAGCTTTGCAACGCGCAGCCCAACGCGCCCCCGCGGCTGAGGCGACCCCCTTCTCACACTGTCCTGTTTCAGTACGTACCTGACCTGCTTTGTCCAGGTAATGACCTGATGCTCCAGGCCGCGCAACAGGCCCCAACAAAAGGCCGCAGAATTGGCCGCAGAATTGGCGCCGCACGGCTCCCTCGAGCACGTGGACCCGGTCCTGGTCAGCGCGCCGGAGTCGAGTATCGAAGGAGAGTCAGCCGAAGCTCTTGCCGAGCCGGCCCGGCAAAGCAGGCAGGGAGAGAAGCTTGCGCGCCTTGCTGGAGCTGGCCGACGCCTTGCCTCCGCACACTGCGCGCCCCGACACATGCACGAGAGAAAGGAGAGGAGAGCCCTCTGCGCACAGCTGGCCTGGCCCAGCTCCCTCCTGTCACAGATCGCAGAAGCAGCGAAGCACTAGTCACAACAGGTCTTCACCTTGCTCAAACCCCGCGCACCTGGACGGCCTCCCTGGGCGGCAGGGGCAGCAAGGTCTGGCCCTGGGTCGGGTCGATGGTCCGAGACAACCAACACCACCAAGATTTTCCCCCCCCGGCCTGTCGGAGGCCCACGGTCACGTGGAGGCTCGCGAGAAAGCCTGGCGAATTTGGTTTTCTGCGACGTGCGCGGGTTTTGCTTCAGAAAAGGGTGTTTGTGACGCAAGCTTGCGTGATGACCGTGAAACTTGTCCAAGAGGTCCCGGGTAATAAGGTCCGACCTCGCTTAAGAAAGTACAAAAGCAATTGGACAAAGCTGGTTGCAGAGCTGGGCTGGAGGCCAACCCCGCTGGTTCGCGGGGTTCATGAGGACAGACAGGTAGACGGAGTGGCAGTAGGAATTGATCAAATCCATGATGCCCTCCATGAGCCGAAATGCGGCATGAGGCGGTGATCCGGCGACCCCCGCTCATGCTTGGACCCGAGCCTTCGCAAGCTCCACGAAGACCACGCAGGGCCGCCTCCCGGGACCGCCGGCGGGGCCCAGGTCGATCTCCACCTCATGCTTGGAGCGCACCAGGGCCAAGACCTGGCGCAGAGTTCTTCCGCACTTTGCAGAGAGAGAGAGAGAGACAGAGAGACAGAGAGAGCAAAATTCCACTAGACAATGTACCGAGATCAGTGAATTCCCCCAATTCACAGCACACTCAGGCAAGCTTCCTCCGAGGGAATATAAGTTTATGCTCCGGGACGCAATCCAAATCCAGGTTATGGCCTGAAAGCCTGGATCTGTATGCACATAGGACCAAAACAGCCTGTAGACTCCAGGCCAAAACCTGGATTTGGATTGATTCGTCCTCTTTTTCTCGCTTCAACTTGGGGAACATAAAAATATGTTCTCTCGGAGTTCGAACTTCGGTGGAATATAATCTTTATGTGCGCAACACAAAGCTCTCAAGACTGTGTCAAGTCTTTAGCTTGGAAAGCATAGAATTATATTCCGGGGGAACATATTTTCTATGCACACAACAAAATGTTTTCATGTTCAAGACTGTGTCAAGTCTTCAGCTTGGAAAACATCAAATTATATTCCCTCGAGTTCGAACTTCGAAGGAGCATATTCTTTTCAACACCCTGCCCGTCATATCGTGTCATGCAATTTGCTTGAGATAAGAAGCAAGCAAACAGTTCACAAAAAAAGCTACTTTATTTGTGAGCCAAAGTGTCGCTTTCAGCCTGCTTGGCATAAGAAGCAAGCAAGTAATGCAGAAAAAGAGGCCCCATTTTGTTAGCGGTAGTTGTCGGTTTCAGCTTGCTGGAGATAAGATCAGCCTGCTCGACAAAAGATGTGAGCAAAAACTGCAAAAAAAAAAACATTTGTTACCCGTAGCTGTCGCTTTCAGCCTACTCAGGCTGAGATAAGAAGCAAGCAAGCAAAGCAGAAAACAGACAAGACCAACGCCATTCGGCAATGTCGCATCCATAAATGCA